AAAGCATCTTTTGGAAGCAATCACACATTTTGTAACAAGGCAAAATGTAATTACATGTTCAGTGTACAATGGCAAATCCTTTTTACTGCACTAGTAATTAGCAGTTTTTTTACATAGTTAGTCTGGCTGAAAAAAGACAAAGTCCATCCAGTTCAACCATTAAAAAGAAAAAAAAAAAAGTTATAATCCTACACCCACAGTTGATCCAGAGGAAGGCAAAAAACCCAGCATAGCATGATCCAATTTGCTCCTGCAGGGAAAAAAATTCCTTCCTGATCCCCCGAGAGGCAATCGGATATTCCCTGGATCAACTTTACCTATAAATGTTAGTATCCAGTTATATTCTGTGTATCTAGGAAATAATCCAGACCTTTTTAAAGCAATCCACTGAGCTGGCCAGAACCAACTCTTGAGGGAGTCTATTCCACATTTTCACAGCTCTCGCTGTTCACAGCAATACAGTTCACAGTGTTGTCAAGCTAACAACATACCACCTTCCAGTCTCAGAGGGACTTGTGTGCATTGCTCAGGGTGCAGGTGCACCGAACATAACAAGAGCCATTTCTTAGGATCAGATGAATTCGAAATTTGAGGATTCTAAAATTGCACTTTGGACCTTGTAGAGGGGAAATATATATATACAGTTGCAAGAAAAAGTATGTGAACCCCTTGGGATTACGTGGAGTTTTGCATGAATTGGGCATAAAATGTGCTCTGAACGTCATCTAAATCACAACAATAGAAGAACACAGTCTGCTGAACATAATACTACACAAACATTAGATGTTGCCATGGTTTAATTGCACATAACATGTAAACATTCACAGTGAAGGGAGGAAAAAAGTATGTGAACCTTAGGACTTAATAACTGGTTGACCCTCCTTTGGCAGCAATAACCTCAACCAAACGTTTCCTGTAGTTGCAGATCAGACTTGTACAACGATCTGGAGTAATTTTGGACCACTCCTCTTCACAAAACTGTTTCAGTGTAGCAATATTCTTTGTATGTCTGGTGTGAATTGCTCTCTTAAGGTCATGCCACAGCATTTCAATCGGGTTGAGGTCAGGACTCTGACTGGGCCACTCCAGAAGGCGTATTCTGTGCTGTTGCAGCCATTGTTTTGTTGAATTACTTGTATGCTTTGGGTCATTGTCCTGTTGCATCACCCATCCTCTGCGGAGCTTCGGTTGGCGGACAGATGGTCGTACGTTTTCCTGCAAAATGTCTTGATAAACTCTGGAATTCATTTTCCCATCAATGACAACAATCCGTCCAGGCCCTGAGGCAGCAAAGCAACCCCAAACCATGATGCTCCCTCCGCCATGTTTTACAGTGGGGATGAGGTTTTGATGTTGGTGTGCTGTGCCTTTTTTTTCTCCCACACATAGTGTTGTGTTCTTCCCAAACAACTCAATCTTGGTTTCATCTGTCCATGGTATATTTTGCCAGTAGTGCTGTGGAACATCCAGGTGCTCTTTTGCAAACTTCAAACCTGCTGCAATATTCTTTTGGGACAGCAATGGCTTCCTCCGTGGTGTCCTCCCATGTACTCCATTCTTCTTTAATGTTTTCCTTATTGTAGATGTGTCAACAAAAATGTTAGCATGTGCCAGAGATTTCTGTAGGTCTTTAGCTGACACTCTGGGATTCTTCTTTACCTCATGCAGCATTCTGCGCTGTGCTCTTGCAGTCACTTTTACAGGTCGACCACGCCTAGGGAGAGTAGCAACAGTGCTAAACTTTCTCCATTTGTAGACAGTCTGTCTTACCGTGGACACATGAACATCAAGGCTTTTGAAGATACTTTTGTAACCCTTTCCAGCTTCATGCAAGTCAATAATCTTGATCATAGATCTTCTGAGAGCTCTTTTCTGCGAGGCATGGTTCACATTGGACAGTGCTTCTTGAAACCAGTAAACGCAAAACAGGTGTGTGTTTTTTAAGGGCAGGACAGCTGTCAGCAACACATCCAATATCATCACACTGATTGGAGTCAAGGTTGGCTCACTCCTGGCTCCAATTAGCTCTGAGAGAAGTCATTAAGCTAGGGCCTCACATACTTTTTCCTCCCTGCACTGTGAATGTTTACATGTTATGTGCAATTAAACCATGGCAACATCTAATGTTTGTGTAGTATTATGTTCAGCAGACTGTGTTCTTCTATTGTTGTGACTTAGATGACGTTCAGAGCAGATTTTATGCCCAATTCATGCAAAACTCCATGGAATCCCAAGGGGTTCACATACTTTTTCTTGCAACTGCATGTGCAACTATAAAAAAAAAAAAAATACTTACAAAAACACTCAATTTTTTTTTCTGTGTTTATGAGTAATTCTTTTATATTTGCATATACAGGTTTTGCACAGTGGTTCTTAAAGCACTAATTTTGTTTTATGGCTTGTCTATTGAATATGTTCAATATGGGAAATTTCAATTAGCAAAACGCTCTCTGTATCTTTAGTTTGTAATGACTTGCAGGTACACATTTTTGTGTGTTTTTTATACAGTACACTTGTTACTTTCTATGTTATTTTAATCCAAGAGAAAGTCTATTAAACTGATTCTTATCTGTGCTCTAGAACTTTCTTCAATCTTACCAGTGCTTAGTGAATGGTCTCTGCTATTCTTTATAATGCTGCAGATTTAAAGATGATCCTGTTTATGACGACACAGTTGAAAGTGGATTCTGTGGCAAAAGAGGTGAACATCACATAAAATACCTAAAGAAACCATCTAGGAACTGAGAAACTAAGACCTTCCTCAGCAAGTTAAAAAGGAAAAAAAAATCTGTTGAATAGGACATGTTTAACAAAAAATAAAATATTCTTTCCAAATCGAAGTGTCATAACCAAAACTTTTTTTATAGAAGTGGTCTTTATTTTGAACAGAATCATTTTCAAGTGTTAAAGTACTCACAATAAGCTCTTTTTTTGTGTGCATACTCCTGTGCTATCAGTTTTGCTGCAATGCATAGATAGGTGGTAGAAGGGCTGAAATAAATGCCTTTTATGGATAAAACACTGCTTTAAGGACCCTTCTGTGTCATTTCTGTGATCCTATTCCTCTCCTTCAGTAGAGCTCACTTGGTCACAAGTAAGGTACAGGATGAATTCTGGAGCACCACTTTGTCCAGGAAAAACAAGTAAACTTGACACAAACCCAGGTGATTCAAACTCTGAATATAATAAAATGCAGATGCCTGCTACTTTAAGTGACCATGTATTTAAAAGATCAGTAGATTCAGAGGTATAGGCAGCTGAATTGTTATGCAAATCCCTCCTGTAAATGTCACACATTTTACCCCGTATTGATCAGTCTGGCTGATCATCTTTTGGAAGGCTTGCGATGTAGGTGGGGCAGGCTTATTGTTTTACAGGAAATTGAGATTTGTGTGTAACTTCAGCTGCATACAGTATATCTCTATAAGCAGAGAAAATCTGGCACTCTAGTGTATACTCTGCAATTTTGTGTTTATTGGCAAGTAACAGATGACAGCCACAAATGTCAATGTGTTTCGCCCAAACTGGCCTTATTCATGATATGTACAGTACTTCTCTGGATTTACTGATTGCTTTGACATTTAGTTTCTGCTCAAGGTGTGATGTGATACATCATATGCTTGGTTTGATTTGCAGATATTAGTCATAGGTTTACTTCGAGGGTCAGTTCACACTAGGTGCATTTCAGTGTGCTTTTTTTCTGCATTCAAAACACACAAAGTAGGTTATATGGTTGTCAATGTCATAGTTCACATCAGTGCTTGCAGTTCCAGTGTGTTCTAGTTGTAGAAAAAAAAAGTAGAACAGGCTGTCTTTTTCATGCACAGAACTGTACTGGAACGTGGTGAAATGAATCAAAAACGCACTGGAACACACCTGTCCCTATTTAAATTGAAGCGAGAGAGAGGAAAAATGCACCGAATGCATCAAAAATACAGTGGAACGCACCAGAAATGAGGCAAAAACACACATGCAGAAACGCATCTGGACTGCGTTTCTATGGAGTGAACCGGCCCTAAGTTATCAGCCACATATATGACAATGTTATCTTTTGCATAACTGACATTCAGGAAGATAGAAACTATTTATGTGACCTGATTTCAAGTCCAGATCATTTGGCGCCTGTATATTGTGTTAACTGTAAAAATACTAATATTTGTATCTCACAAAATGGTGTTTTCTAGACAAGAAATAACTATTGCATTTTAATAAGCTTGGCAATCGTATCCAAGAAGTAAGACTGGTAATAAATGCTTTACTGCATAAATGAGTGCTTAAAAGGAAACTTGGCAATGCATAAGCTGGCTGGCTTCATCGGTATTCACAATTCCACTGTAAGACAGGGCTGATAGCCTATCCTGATTTGTAAATATCTGATAGCACAAAACATTAGACTTCACTCTGCAGCATAGGACATATTAAAATACTTTAACATTTCTTAAGAATTGTTTATTAGTGAGAACTTACAGTATAACTCATAATGTCAATGGCTGATGCAGGTAGGTCAGTGGTTTTATTTTTTTCAAACACTTTTTCATTAATTTTTATTATAATAAACCTACATAATTAACTACCTGCCGACCGCAGATAGCCGAATGACGGCTGCACTGCGGCCGGCCAGTTCTGAGTGGACGTCATATGACGTCCTCCCAGAACGCGCTCTCCTGCGCGCCCCAGGGGGCGCGCACCCGGCGATCTCCTTGATCGCTGTGTCCTACGGACATAGCTGATCACGTGATGTGGTAAAAGGCCAATCACAGCGGCCTTTTACCACGTGATCAGCGGTGTCCAATGACACGCTGATCAGAGGGAAATGCAAGTGCCGGTTCTCGGCTGCACTTTCCTCACGCTGTCAGATCGTGAGGAAAGTACTGCCGAGAACCGGCAGTTGTCAGAGCGGGGATCGGCACTGATCATCAGGGCACTGATGATCAGTGCCCTGATGATCGGTGCCCAGCAGTGCCACCCGCAACTTCCGCCCACCTGTGCCCCGCAGTGCGCCCACTAGCTCCGCCCACCTGTGCCCAGCAAATCACCCACCTGTGCCACTCTGTAGTGTCACACACCTGTGCCCAGAAGTGCCACCTACCTGTGCCCAGCAGTGCCACCCACCTGTGCCCACCCACCAGTGCAGCCCAGCAGTGCTGCCAGTCAGTGCCCAGGGGTTGTTCCAGTCAGTGCCGTCTATCGGTACCCATCATCAGTGTCACCTATCAGTGCCGCCTATCAGTGCTGCATATTAGTGCCGCCTATCCGTGACACCTCATTAGTGCTGTCTATCAGTGCCGCCTATCCGTGCCACCTCATTAGTGCTGCCTATCGGTGCCGCCTATCAGTGCCCATCAGTGCTGCCTCATCAACGCACATCAGTGAAGGAGAAAAAATACCTGTTTGAAAAATTTTATAATAGAAACAAAGAAACTTTTTTTTTTTTCCAAATTTTTTTGCAATTTTTTTATTTATAGCGCAAAAAGTAAGGCGCCCAGTGGCGATTAAATACCACCAAAAGAAAGCTCTATTTGTGAGAAAAAAATGATCAAAATTTCATATGGGTACAATGTTGCATGACCGCGCAATTGTCAATCAAAGTGCGGCAGCGCTGAAAGCTGAAAATTGGCCTGGTAAATAAGGGGTATAAGTGCCCGGTAGGCAAGTGGTTAATAGCATAAAGATAGAGGTGCCTGTGCTTGTTCATGTTACTGCTGCAGATTGCCCTTAGAGCCCCATGTAGCTTTCTGCTAAAAGTTAACACTTTAGTACGTACCCTATAGTGTTATTAGTGTTGGACAATCATGGAGCTCTTCATTTGGAGGAGTACTTTATGATGTGTGATCAGGGCCTCCTGATGTAGTTAAACATCTACTTGCTGTGTCAAAGAGGAACAGAGGTCTAAGCCAAATCACACTTTGGAAGAACAGAAAATTACTTTACATACAAGATAGTTGCTAAATTCCACACAAAAAAACAAGCTTCTAAATGTTAACGTGAGACATAGAGTATCCTCTGTGACCTAGTTACAACAAAACCCACAATTAGATAAAATTTGGAAACCACCTTTGTTCAAAGCCTAGTAACCCAGTGACCTGGTGCAAGGAGATCGACATCAGAGCAAGAGAAAAAAAAGTTCAAAGATCTGGTGATTCATCTTTCACACAATTTCTATTTTGGAGTGTAAACTAAAGGATGGCTTCAAAGTACAGTGTCAGCACAGCAGGTCCCATAATGGGTCATGGCACCCCTCGGAATCGGTTTTCTGCAGTAATTTGCCATAAAATGTGATCAGATCCTCATCTAAGTCACAACAATAGACAAACACAATGTTCTTAAGTGTATAACACACAAACTGTTCTAATTTCTCGTGTCCTTATTGAACACATTAATTAAACATTCACAGTGCTGGAGGAAAACATGAGTAAACCCAGAGATTAAATTACTTAACCCTTTGAGGACCGTAAGATTACAGAACGCCAAAAGAATCAATTTTTTGTTTTTAAAGTTCGTACACTTCAGTTGCTGTAACTAAGCCATTTCATGAAATAATTGGCAAAAAGCTAGATCCATTTGTTGATAAGAACTAATATTTTGACTCAAACCAAAAAAAAAAAATGTATTTTAAGTTCTAAATCAGATAATACAGGCAATTAAAAACATGGGACAAATACGTCCCTTGGTCCTCAAAGGGTTAAACCAGGGGTGGGCAACTGTGGCCCTCCAGCTGTTGGAGAACTACAAGCCCGATGAGGCATTGCAAAACTGGCAGCATGACTCCCAAAGGCAGAGGCATGATGGGACTTGTAGTTCACCAGCAGCTGGAGGGCCACAGTTGTCCACCCCTGACTTAAACAAAAGCTAATCTGAGTAATTTTCACACCTGGAGTCCAGTTAATGAAGTGAGTTTGAAGGTGTGGTTTAGAGCTACTTTGATTAGTAAAAGACACTCAAACATTTTAAGATTGCTGTTTATAAGAAGCATCAGCTGATGTGAAACATGCCTCGCAAAAATGAGCTCTCTTAAGATATAGGATCAAGAGTAGTTGATCTGCATAAGGCTGGAAAGTGATACAAAGCAAGCTCAAAGTGTTCAGACATCCATCCTGGAGGTGTCTCCCCAACCAACATGACTTTCAAGGCATAGAGCAGAATCCTCAATAAGGTAAAGAACAACCCACGAGAAAGAGAGAGAGGCTTAAAGACTTCACTGGAACTGGCAAACATCCCTGTTTATGACTACCATACGCAAGTCTTTTAACGAGCAGGGTGCCCATTGTAGAACACCATGGAGGAAGCCACTGCTCTCCAAAAAAAAATAACAATGCTACTGGGAAAATGTTTTGTGGACTGATGAAACAAACGTTGAATTGTTCCGGAAGAATAATCACCACTATGTATGCTGCAAAAAGGGCACAGCTTGCCAACATGAAAACATCATCCTAACGGTGAATTATGGTGAAAGGAACATCATGATTTGGGCTTGCTTTGCTGCCTCAGGGCCTGGACCACTTGCCATCAGGGAGGGGAAAATTAATTCCCAAATTTATAATATCCTAAAGGATAATGTCATGGTGGCTGTCCGCCAGCTGAAGCTTAGTAGAAGTTGGGTGCTGCAGCAGGACAATGACCCTAAGCATCAAGGTAAATCCACCACAGGCTTCTATAAAAGAAAATTCACCTCTTGGAATGGCTCAGCTCAGACCTTAAACTCATACATATGCTGTGGAATGACCTCAAGAGAGCCGTTCACACCAGACATCCTACAAATGTGCCTGAGCTGAAGCCGTTTTGTAAAGAGGAATGGTCAAAAATTCCTCTGAACATTGTGCAGGTCTAATCCAGTGCTACCAAAAGTGCTTACTTGTAGTGATTGCTGCCAAAGGAGGTTCGGCCAGCTATTAACGCCAAGGGTTCACTTACTGTGAATCTTTAATGGATGTGTTCAGTAAAGGCACAAGACATTAGAATTGTTTGTGTGTTATGTCTATTGTTGTGACATACATTGAGGAACACAAGTATTTGAACACCCTGCGATTTTGCAAGTTCTCCAACATAGAAATCATGGATAATTCTGTCTCAGAGTGGGAATGCACCTACAATGTGAATTTCAGACCCCTCCATGATTTCTAAGTGGGAGAACTTGCAAAATCGCAGGATGTTCAAATACTTCTGTTCCTCATTGTAGATGAGGATCAGATTGCATTTTATGGCAAACTTATTACAAATTAAGGTAAAACAGTTAATTTCAAGGGGTTAACATACTTTTGCTTGCCACTGTAACTTCATATTTTGGAGCATGTTACACCCATATTTAGGGCGTAATGTGCTCCAGCACTCCCCCCCCCCCCCCCCCCCCCCAAATCCATGACAGTGGGCAGGGCTTCCTCTCCCTCACCCTCACTCCCACTGTTGCATTTAGAATTAGCATGGCTGTATGTATTGCAATGGCCTGCCTGATTGGATACAGAGTAATTGGATAGATAGGTGTGTCCTTCTTTTATATGGTATTGGTAAATCTAAAGGAGTTCGTACAGCGATTGTACAATCAGATTGTATAGTGTCTGGCCATCTTTATACATCTAAAATGAACTGGTCATGCTTTCGGTGCCATTAATTGTTAATGGCACCCTAAACACAGAAGCAAACACACTTTGTGCCTTGTGAAAAAAAAATGAGTGACAGACACAGCCAAACAATCAGTAAACAAAACTGCAAACTGAAACATGCCAAAATGTCCCATGAGCTACTTTACCACATGTAGGGCAGGCCATTGAAATCAGTGGGCTGCCTCTTACATGCCGCAGGGAAAACGAGCCATAAAAAAGTGCAATCCCACTATGCTAGATGTGAATGGAGCCTGAAAGTGAAATTGGTGTGTTTACAAAAGAACAATGAGGCTCCATTCACAGCTGCATGTTTCCAAATGCAAATGGGAACAACAACAACTCCACCACAAAGTGATAAGCCACGTAACATGACAGAGCGGGGTCAAAGCATGCTGAAGCGCACAGTGTGTAGAAGTCGCCAACTGTCTGCAGTCAAAAGCTAAAGCCCTACAAACTTTGTGTGCCCCCCCCCTGGTCACCAGAACTAGTGTCCCTATTGGAAGATTTCCCATCTATTACTTTTCTGGGGACCACCCAAAATTTGGGATTTTCTTTTACGTTCACTTTCAATGAAAATGGTAAATACAGAGGGTTAATCACCCTAACGGGGGCACAGACAGTACTAAAAACCTAATCCATCTCCATTCTGTCCAAAACTGTACAATAAAGGTTTTGCCTGTAGTTATAGTTTAAAGCCAGCTTGACAAAACTGCTGGCTTTGCAGCTGTTTCCATTCCAGCTCATGGAATCGGCCCCCTCTGTAAGTTTATGGCTTGTGCAGTGGCAAGTATACAGCCACCTTTATTTTGCACAAAAGGCTATCCCTGCCTTTAAACCAGGATGTGGAATGTAAAGTCTGTGTTGCTGGACCACGCTGTCAGCAGCAGGGTACACATGACCTGAGACTTAGACGCATGGTTCAGTAAGCATGGGCAAGGATGCTATATATCCTTCAGAGGACACTGAATCAATCTTCTGGTGGTTGGGAAAGATGTTGTACAGGTGTACTGCTGGTGCCGTTGGTACCCCCACATATCTTCTACAATGGTGACACCACAGTCACCTATTCCCTTCTCCTCACTGGCCCCTTCCTCTGACTTCTTGGAACCAGCTGTCCCCCCCACCTTTCAAGAGCCCAGAGCATATGTAACATTCAAGGCTAGATGCTGCATGTTGTGTTGCAGCTTGTATGACTGAGGTTCAGATGGCACACTGAGACAGATCTGCTGATATTTTCCCAGACTGAGAGTGAACTGACTCCATGCCATCTCCAGCCAAGCAAGCTCATATGTGACATCACAAACCTGCTGTCTGCACTTCAACTGAGATAGCTCACACATGCTTTGCCGAGATATGTCCTAAACCTGGTGTGGCAGCAGTTCTTCATGAAGTATGCTAGCTTCTAAGAGGTCCTTTGTCAAGGGGTTAGTGGCCACATTAGGTGGTCATATCCTGCCATAGTGCACCTGGCAAAAATGCAGTGCCAATATGAGTTGCCTAACAACTTCCTCATCTCCACAGGGTGGAACTCAAGATTGGCCATGCTGCAAGGGCTCCAAAATTATGGTACAAGAACAGGCTATAGGGAATGGGGGTTCTTTTCACCCTGTAAACATCATTCAGGATTCACGCAGCATTTTAGCACATTTTGAAAAGGCTAAGAAAATGGTGATCTGTGGTGAGGTGGGAATTAATAATACAATCCTTGTGTTCTTTCTGGAGCACACATTTTCTGGCCTGATAGACTGGAAACTGAGACACAGCAACAAGAGGAATTGGAGAACTTGCTGCTGTCTTA